ATACTTGGGTCAGAGTTTAATTTTCCTTTTGATTGACATTTTGTTTTAAAATGAGCACAGGGGTTCCCCGACCAACTGAAAGCATACCGAGGATGAACTGCGGGGCAAAAATGGCTTGGGGACCACTGCGGGTCACCAATAGCTTGGGAACCACTGCGGGTCACAAATTATGGCTTGGGAACCTCAGCGGGGCACCAATGGCTTGGGTAACCACTGCGGGGCACCGATGGCTTGGGAACCACTGCTACCCGAGAGATGTGATTTCAACGCATACATACGTCACAGTAACCACATTTGAATCCACAATAAGATGTATTTGTGTGAACAATTCAAGCGATTGGATGTATTTAAAAATAAAAAAGTATCACTTTTTCTTTTTTGCATATGAATCAAATTAAATATTTGTAATAACATTACTTTTATAAGTAATTCATATGTTTATTTTATTTACATTTGAATTATTGATTCGATTTTCTTAAATCATTTATTGGTGCAGCAAATAAAAGAAATTAACTTATAATAAAAGAATGAAAGCTTCTGCTATTATTTTCAAACAGTATTTCATTGTCCACCATAATTTAAATTTGATTTATTAATGCATAGTATGAAATACTTGTGAGATAAGTCAACGTAGATCGTAATACAGTAACAGTTATTTAAGTGAGATACTACTGTAGATCATTCGACAGCGTACATCACTAACATCATTGAGATGTCTCAGACATTTGACCGCGTACCTCACTAACATCATTGAGATGTCTCTGGCACTAGCCCATGTACATCACGTACACAAGCATGAAAATCTAAATTGAAAACATAATTCTGTTCCAAAAGACACTCATAAGTTATGAACTTATTTTATTAATCCCTTCTAGAACATGCATTCATGATTGATCAATAAAAAAATATTCAAAAAGATGAGATATTTTATAATATAACTTTTAAAAAACGAAAAAAAAAATCAATCACAGATTCAATAAATAGTCATTACTCTGTCATCAGATCAATTCTAAGTCATTCTCTTAATCAACAAACATCAGATCAGCTCTAAATAATTCTCTCAATCAACAAAAGTCAGATTAACCTGTAACTCATTCTCTCAATCAACAAACATCAGCTACAAACAAGTCAGGAGAAATCTTATATCAACACATTTTGAAAACGGCTTATTGACAATCTGTCAGTCAAATACGTTGGATCAGGAAGTGAGACAATGGCATGAGATTAAAACCTAATCGCACTGATCCAGTTACTTGATCCATTTGGATTGGAAGATCCATCTCCGCGGCAGTCCAGATCAAATCTTTGGACCGCAGTCTTCAGCTTCATTCTATATACCTCTTTTCTTTTTAACAAGAGGTAGAAATAAACACAGTTGTTGGTGTCTTATGTTTTCATGTGGTAAAAAAGGCAACTTTTATGGGACAATACGGCCCCCATCTCAACACACAGATCCTAATGTTCACTTTCATTTCTTCCCTCATCCCTTAGTCCCCCTTCAGAGCTAAACATTTCCTTAGAACACAAGTCATTTCATCCTCACCGACAGCCTCCCTCCCTGACACACGTGAACATTTTAACAGATTTCGAGATCTTTTCTTCCGCTGCTTCACTTAATGGATGAAAACGAATTCAAGTTATATTCCAAGTCAATATTTCTATTAATGAAATGCATTCCAGTGCAGTAATAAATTCAATATCGGGACATTTCCCCCAAATCTAAATTTGTCCACCTCATTAGAATGAACAACAAAAAAAAAAAAAAAAGAAAAAAAAAACTCCACTTGCCGCATTGTATTCAAAATGAACTAACCCAAATCCTGCTAATCGGGTCTAACCTGACATGTTCTTTGACTTTGTTTGGCTCTCAGTTTGTAATATTTCTATTAATGAAATGCATTCCAGTGCAGTAATAAATTCAATATCGGGACATTTCCCCCAAATCTAAATTTGTCCACCTCATTAGAATGAACAACAAAAAAAAAAAAAAGAAAAAAAAAACTCCACTTGCCGCATTGTATTCAAAATGAACTAACCCAAATCCTGCTAATCGGGTCTAACCTGACATGTTCTTTGACTTTGTTTGGCTCTCAGTTTGGCCGACTTTATCGCTTATAAAACAATGTGTTAATCTCCCCCACGTCAAAATGTAACCTGCTCATGTCTGGACTATGTTCTGTTCTGATCCTGGGACATTTCTAACGTGTTCAATGCGACTTGAAAAGCTGACGTCACTCGCCTGCTTGACAGATGTCACGCGAATTCAAAAAAAATAACAACAAAACACCAACAGTCAATTACTTGGCATTCTTCCAGTGGAAGCTCTAAGCACCAATTTACGATTGCTCCACCCACAATCAAAATGACCCGATCCTTACAACGCCACCTCTCCCCCCCTCCCCATTACCCAAAATCCTAAACTTATCAACCAACCCGTACCACTACAATCTTACTTTCTACCCGTACCACTACAATCTTACTTTCTACCCGTACCACTACAATCTTACTTTCTACCCGTGCCACTACAATCTTACTTTCTACCTGTGCCACTACAATCTTACTTTCTACCCGTGTCACTACAATCTTACTTTCTACCCGTGCCACTAAAATCTTACTTTCTACCCGTGTCACTACAATCTTACTTTCTACCCGTGCCACTACAATCTTACTTTCTACCCGTTCCACTACAATCTTACTTTCTACCCGTACCACTACAATCTTACTTTCTACCCATACCACTACAATATTACTTTCTACCCGTGCCACTACAATCTTACTTTCTACCCGTGCCACTACAATCTTACTTTCTACCCGTACCACTACAATCTTACCTTCTACCCGTACCACTACAATCTTACTTTCTACCCGTGCCACTACAATCTTACTTTCTACCCGTACCACTACAATCTTACTTTCTACCCGTGCCACTACAATCTTACTTTCTACCCGTGCCACTACAATCTTACTTTCTACCCGTACCACTACAATCTTACTTTCTACCCGTACCACTACAATCTTACTTTCTACCCATGCCACTACAATCTTACTTTCTACCCGTACCACTACAATCTTACTTTCTACCCGTGCCACTACAATCTTACTTTCTACCCGTGCCACTACAATCTTACTTTCTACCCGTACCACTACAATCTTACTTTCTACCCATACCACTACAATCTTACTTTCTACCCGTACCACTACAATCTAACTTTCTACCTATCAATCGATTCATCTTCTCACTTAAATCATGAAATTCTTTCGTGAAAATTTGATTTTTTATATTTTTTTTAAAGGCAATAAATGACCACACAAAAATTGAGCTCTAAGATTTGTCTATACTCAATGTAAAAAAAAAAATCGTTCATGCACCAAGGGTGGGATGGTGGGAAAATTGACAGTGGGGAGTCTGTTTATAAAGCAAATTAAAGAGCGTGTTGGGGCAAAAAAAAAGGTTGGGGGGGGGGGTGGGTCTGATCGGGGGTATACGGCTCTCTACGCGCTGTGCAAACTTTAAGTTCCTGTGACAGGTAAAAAGTTTGGCTGCGTCAACTAGCCTTATGGGCTATCTGCCCCAACAGACCCGCGGGGGTTGTATTTGACACAAGTTAGCGCTAATCTCTAGTGCTGTAAATAGCGTGTGATAAATTTGGACTCTTCCAGTCCCAACGCGACACTTTATATATGACAGACTCCCTAAAACGCAAGCGGTCCTCGTGCTTTTAGCTGGGATTGGGCCCCATCATTTCGACAAAGGTGATATTTTAGCAAGATAATTTTTTTCTGAAATATAAATTCATTATAAAGTCCCAAATTAAAAAAAAAAAAAAGACAAGAAAGAAACGCATGCAAGTATTTAATCTTATAAAGGAGTCAGGGTACATGCGCGCACCATGAAGGGGAATCCCTGTAGAACAGATAACGTGATAAATTATAGTTGGAATTTCGAGTTTCTGGCAAAGTGATACAGTGAGAGATCAACCAGTATGTCAACTTGAACTTCGTCCTTTAAGGGTTTGCAGCAAATATTGGGGCACTTACTGAAGCGGTTCAATACATTTCAAACTGTCTCAGCTCTTGGTCGTGTGAAATGTTCATGTTTAAATTTAAACGATAAACTAATTAAAAGATCTCAAGTATCAAAATACTGTCATTTAAACCGAACGTGCCCTGTGCTTTGGTATCAGTAGGAAGTGACGCTCATGTGATGTGGTCAGTTGGATGTGTCCCACATGTGGCGAGGTCAATCGAATGTGTCCCACATGTGATGAGGTCTGTCGTATGTGTCCCACATGTGATAAGGTCAGTCAGATGCGTCCCACATGGGATGAGGTCAGTCGGATGTGTCCCACATGGCATGTGATAAGGTCAGTCAGATGTGTCCCACATGGGATGAGGTCAGTTGGATGTGTCCCACATGTGGTGAGGTCAGTTGGATGTGTCCACATGTTGTGAGGTAAGTTGGATGTGTCCCACATGTGGTGAGGTCAGTCGGATGTGTCCCACATGGGATGAGGTCAGTCGGATGTGTCCCACATGTGATGAGGTCAGTCGGATGTGTCCCACATGTGATGAGGTCAGTCGGATGTGTCCCACATGTTGTGAGGTCAGTCGGATGTGTCCCACATGTGGTGAGGTCAGTCGGATGTGTCCCACAAGTGATAAGGTCAGTCGGATGTGTCCCACATGTGATGAGGTCAGTCGGATGTGTCCCACATGTGATGAGGTCAGTCGGATGTGTCCCACATGTGATGCGGTAAGTCGGATGTATCCCACATGTGATCGTGTCTGCCGTAACTTACAAAAGTTCTAACTATTTTTTTTTATAAGTACTACAAGACGCTTCACATAATGTTACGTCGTTTGCACGCCAAAACGTTTATGGGGAGCCTCCACCTACAACTCCTTAATATTATTATACACTTTAATTTACCCTTACCTTAGATCAAACACCAGCAAGCTGTAAAATCGCAACAACAACAAAAAAAACAAAACAAGAAAAATAGCATTTAAATCAGAGTTTTAATTTACCGAATAACACAGAAGATGATGTCAATAAAAACTCACACAGATTCAATTGCGGAACCCACATGCATTTTTGTTAGTCCATGAGATTGATCTCCCTTTCAGTGTTTATAATTTGTAAAACGAAACATGGAATGAATTTAAGTCCGAGACACGCCGTCCAAAATCCCCATGCACGCAGCGTGATGTCTGGCACGGAGACGAAGACTTTCGATGCTAGATGTCAGCATGGCGTCTTTCCCGCTGGCCACGGTTGTGGGCAGGCGGAGTTGTCCCTCGTGCCGGAACGGGTACCTCATGAGAATGTCGTGGAGCTGCGAGGCGGAGTAGTAAGAGGACCAGGGCGTGAAGTTGGGGATGTGTGACGTCAACAAGGAACCCGTGGGCGACGAGGCCAACGGCAGCGACGACGACAGCGACGTCGGCCGGGTCAGGTGAGATGAGGACAAACCCGGCGGGGGCAGCGTCGGTAGGTGCGATGGGAGGCTCTGTGACAGGGAGAACGGAAGGTTGTGGGTGGCAGGGGCGCCGGCGGCCGGCTTGTGCAAGGCGGCCGGAGCGGAAATGTCTTTTTGTGCGACGTTGATAAAACCGAGGGGCTGGGTCAATCCGGTAGACAGATGGTAAGGGTGGTAGGCGGCCGTTCCAGGGACTTGGAATCTGTAGTCGGGGTCTGAAAGTAGAGGCGATCGTTCGTGAAAATACTGAGGTAAAATATCGGTACAATCCTATTGTCCTCAGAAAACAACTAAAGGATAATGCATTAATAGAACATTAAACTTTGTGTTATAATGCATTCCATTGAAATGAGACAGTAGATGCGAGCCTAATTGGAAGAACTCAGTTACGTAGAAGTTTTGGTTTTGGTTTTTGTTGTTGTTGTTGTTTTTGTGTGTTTGTGTGTGTCTTAAAGTTTCTTTTTAACAATGAAGAAATTTGACAGAGTTCAGGTAAGTAGTAGCATCATAAACGTTCTTGATTTATATTTCATATGATTAATAACACTTTCCTTTAAAAATAAAATAAAGGCCTCTTTTACCTGTGTAATGAGAAGTTATGATGGATTTTCCTTCGTCATCTTTGTCCTGCCGTGACAAAGGCCTGAATGTCTTCAAACCAGGGGAATCTCTAGTTTTAGGGCTGTCCCCTTCAGAAACGTGCACCCTCAGGTCTGGTGGGGATAAATATAAGACATTACGTTAAGCATGATTCCAGGTAATGGCAGTTATTTTTTTGTTTCCATTAAGGTGAAGTAAATGTAGAAATTGATTTAAAAAAATAAATTCGATCGTCGGCATCCATCGGATGTTCTATAGGGAGAAAACTTTTCACATTTTAGCCAGCTATTTTAATATAATTTGTATTAAAGTTAAATTGTGTGTGTGTGTAAGGGGGAAACAAAAAGGGGGGGGGGGGGTTTATGAGGGTTAAACTTGTTCCTCTGATTTAAAAAAAAAAAAAAAGTTGATTTTTTTGTGTAAACTTCTTAACTCTAACCGTGACAGCTCTTGTAACTAACGGTCGTTAGCAACCGTGTCATTTCAAAGACATACCAGTGGCCGAGATAGGTCTCCGGGGAGGTCTGTCGTCGTCGTCTTCGTCTCTGCCGGCGACCTCGTCTTGACCACACACCGAGGTCACCTCAACGTCTGGAGATTCGTCGTCGACGTCGGCGTTCTCGCTCTCGTCAACCTCGTCGTCGCTGTGAGAGTAGGAGCTGTCCTTGCACGAGTCGTCCTTGCTGACGTCATCGCCGGCCGTGACATCCGGTTTGTCGTCCGCTGAGGCGCCTGACGTCACGCCGTTCTGGGTCGGCGGTCTGACCCCGCGCTGTTTCTTCCTGTACTTGGCCCGCCGGTTCTTGAACCAGACCTGAAACACAGAACAACAGGCTGGATAAGATGATGTGCCGTGAGATGATGCACCTTTAGTCGCTATGTTGATCTGATGTCATGAAATCATGTAACTTCAGTTGCTGTGTTAGTCTAAAGTCTCTTCGTTATCGGATTACTTCGCGAAAACATTTTATTTTCATTTTTAAATAGTTTCATTTTTGTGCAATCATATATTTAAATCATGAACAATTTTCTTTTATTAACGAGGTTCATGACAACACCCCCCCCCCCTTTTTTTTTTCCCACTTCTCGGCCTGCTTTGGAGTCGTAATTTGTTAAGATTTTGAAGCCGAGCCGTCCCTGTATCCTTGCCTGAACAATTTTCTTTTATTAACGAGGTTCATGACAACACCCCCCCCTTTTTTTTTCCCGACTTCTCGGGCTGACTGGGAGACTTAATGTGTTTATATATTGAAGCCGAGCCGTACCTGTATCCTTGCCTCGGGGAGGTTTGTGATCATGGCCAGCCTCTCCCTCATCACGACATCCGGGTAGTGTGTCTTGGAGAAGGTCTTCTCCAGAGCCCCGAGCTGCTGGTTGGTGAAGGCAGTTCGGCTGCGGCGCTGCTTCCGGTGGGCGCCATACCGGGCATCAAACAGAATGTCTGCATAGAAAGGAATACATGAAGAGTTTGCCCAGTGTTTTCATACCTCTGTAGTTAAGCCTTTTCTTTTTTTGTCTAATCTTATTTTTTTTCTGTTGCATATAATTGAAAAGCCCTCTAATGGGTGCATTTTGTAAAGATAAACTTCCACGCGATGATACGGCTAACGATAAAATAGAAAAATTATTTATTTCTACATGTCATGTGCCCAATTGATTATCCTGGTTATCTGTCAACAATATCGTGATAACAAACTTTAATTGGATTATGACTGCAGTATGATCAAGGCCTAACTTTATTCAGTCATGATATACATTTTTTTTTAATTGATTGAATTAGTAGCTTTAAATATTTTTGTATCCTCCGACAAGTTGAATTTAGAAAAAATATTTAAGGGAAACGTAAGCACACTTGCAAATTTTCTTTACTTTTAGTATTGTGTATATTAATTTTAATTATAACCTAGAATTTAACCAATGGTATTTGCAAAAAAAAAAAAAAATACATTAAGAAAAATCAAACATCTAGGAGTAAGCAAGAATATTATTAATAGAATGTCGTGGGCGTTATAACAACAATCTTGAACGCTGGAGTGAGTTAGGGTGGACAGTCAGGGAATGTGTGCATAGCGAAAGCACCTTGCAGACCGGCTCTATAGGAAATCAATTTATTTTATTTATTTTAAGACCTGCCTTTGTAAATAAGGCTAGCATATTTGTCAAGAAAAATTTAAAAAAAAATATTTTTTTTTAAAATTATCATAATGTAACCGCTGCAGATATTCGGGGCAGTTCAACTAAAGTCATTTTCAATTCAGAAGATAAATCAATTTTTTTCAAGAAATAAGTTATAAATGAAAGGCTATGTGTCCCACATAAAAATTTACGAAAGGAAAGAGACACCTTTAAATTATACTATTATTTAGTTATTTTAAACATTTGTTTGTAACTAAAAAAAATTCGATATTTAAAAAGTAATTATTTTGCCTTAATACGTGGATGCCCATTAAGTTCAGGCTAATGAAAAGGTATTAACCAAAGAATGTGCATTAAAATTAGATTTGATGTCTCTGATGCTTATATTAGTTATATCGAGATTATAACTCTAGCCTTTGTTAGTCTTATTGAATATTATTAACGAAACGAACCGAAAAAAAAAAAATAATAATATTTCTCAATTCTCCGAGTACATGAATTATTTTTTTTTTTTTAAATTGGGATCTATTTTTGTATAAATGTAATTTCACATTTTTCACCCCAGAATAATTAAATCCTTTAACGGGGGGTAACAGCTCCAACCAAAAAACGAAAGAGGAGAGAGGGGTAAAAAAAAAAATAATAATATTTCTCAATTCTCCGAGTACATGAATTATTTTTTTTTTTTTAAATTGGGATCTATTTTTGTATAAATGTAATCTCACATTCTTCACCCCAGAATAATTAAATCCTTTAACGAGGGGTAACAGCTCCATCCAAATAACGAGAGAGGAGAGAGGGGGAGAGAGAGAGGGAGAGAGAGAGGGAGAGAAGGGGAAAAAAAGATGATTCCCAAATCACGAAATTCACTGTGGCTCGCGTGGGTCAGCACGAGCTACTGCACACGGGCTAATCGCTAACACGTCAGCAACCAATCACGGTGCAGTATATCGAGCAATACGTGTTAAGTGCATGACAGTGCAGTCCTACCTGGGTATTGTCCAAAGAAAAATGGCGACGTCAGATGAAGAGGGTGTGTCGGTGGTGGGAGACCAAAGAAAGGGTGTGGAGACTGGAACTGCAGACCAAATGCCCCGTAGCCCTGCATTCTGGGGAACAGAGCAAAAGTAACAACAATTTAGATTTGCTGTATGGCTGTAATGCTCTGTTCAGTAGCGCAACACAAAAAAAAAATTAAAAAATCCTGAACATTGATCTAAAGCGCGTACAAATATGTGTTCAAAAGCGGAGATCGAATCAATTTAAATAAGGCGAAATAAATATGCTATGGGCTGTGTGTTATTATATAAATTCTTAAATATGTAAATAATTGAAATTTAACAACACTCCCAGTAGTTTGCACTAATTGGTACTCTTAAAAAGTGTCCTTACTTGAAATGCGTGTTTTGTCAAGTGTAACTTTAGGAGATGGAAGGCTCACGCTCTAACGCCGTCATTGTTTGGCGGGCTATTTCTATTTAAATTATTAACTTAGACGCCTGTTAAATTGACACAAGATCATTACGAAATCTTATAAGACAAAGGAGGGGGGGGGGTTCGTTTTTTTTGGGGGGGCCTCGTCAAATATAAAAACAATTATTCTCAAAGTGTACAAGACTTTCTTTTTTTTTTTTTTGCGCCTTTTGCGATCAATGAAAAGGTTGCCCGTAAAGAAACTAGGCAATATTAATAAATTTAACTTATCGTCAAATATAAAAACAATTATTCTCAAAGTGTACAAGACTTTCTTTTTTTTTTTTTTGCGCCTTTTGCGATCAATGAAAAGGTTGCCCGTAAAGAAACTAGGCAATATTAATATATTTAACTTAGAAGCATGACATTCTTATAGTTTGTAAAGACTTTCAACGCTCGAGGCATTTACACTTAATTAACTATTACAGTTTTAAGTATTGAAAAAAAAAAATTCAGGGCACAGTTTTACTTGCATTCAGCGCACAGAATTTATGATCTATATACCGGTATAACGTAGGTCAGTGCTTGGCATTATTGGAAACTTTGGGAATACAGTTTTGTTCCCTCTTTTAAAGAATGCAATCATCCAAAAAATTGGTCACAATGAAGAAACTAAATTTACTATATTTTTTTTTTAAATCTGTATCTATTATTTGACCTGTCTATTATTTGATCTGTATCTATTATTTGATCTGTATCTATTATTTGATCTGTATCTGTTATTTGATGTGTATATATTCTTTGCTCTCTATCTATTCTTTGATCTATGTCTGTTCTTCGATCAGAATATTTATGGTACCTTGAAATGATAATTTTAACATTACTTAAAATACAAGATGCTACTACGGTATTATATATTATTTGTTACTAACGTTTGAATTATATCGCATAACTCGCAAAGATGAAACAGAGTTTTGGTTTTTCTAGCAATGCGGGTAAACTTATGAATTGAAAAAAATTGGTTCAAATAAAAAGTATATACCATATATAATAGTATAAACCCTTCAAGAACCTTACAAAAATTAGAAAGGGCAAAGTTCAATTTCTGGAGAATTCAAGCAACGTTAGGGGGTTTGGGTAAAAAAAAAAGGTAGGGGGGGGGGTGGGTGGATTTACTAACATTAAATTAATCAAAATGAAATCTACAGTAGCGTACTACAATGGTTTAATGAAATGTCGCAGTATTCAGCAATAATATTATTAACATACGCAGGAAAAAAAGGGGAAATAGTGGAACAAAGGATACGGGAGCTGGAAATAGAAAGACGGGGACAGTTAAAGACGAACATTTCGGCTGACAGACTTCGTCGGGAGACAGGACACATGAAGATGTTTCTCCACGACTTTGTGGATTCTAAAAGGACTCTTGTCTGCGTTAATAAATGTACCTACATGTGAAGAGACATGGCCAGATTGTGCTACTAATGGTAATTATAGGCCTAATTCTTATAGATGGCCAGATTGTACTACTTTAATTAATATAGTAATATATAGGCCTAATGGATGACCGATTCTACTACTAATAATAATTATAGGCCTAATAGATGGCCCGATTGTACTAATTACAATAATTGTAGGCCTAATTAATGATCAGCATGTACTACTAATAATAATTCAATTATTGGCCGAATAGATGGCCCGATTGTAATAATAATAATAATTATAGGCCTAATAGATGACCCGATTGTACTAATTACAATAATTGTAGGCCTACTTAATGATCAGCATGTACTACTAATAATAATTCAATTATTGGCCGAATAGATGGCCCGATTGTAATAATAATAATAATTATAGGCCTAATAGATGACCCGATTGTACTAATTACAATAATTGTAGGCCTACTTAATGATCAGCATGTACTACTAATAATAATTCAATTATTGGCCGAATAGATGGCCCGATTGTAATAATAATAATAATTATAGGCCTAATAGATGACCAGCTTGTACAACTTAAAAAAATATAGGCATAATAGGTGGCCAGATTGTACTTCTAGCATAGATGATAGGCCTAACAGACGGCCGGATTGTACTACTAATAATAATTATAGACCTAATAGTAATAGTTACAAATAATAATATGTTGACAGTTCATCTCGCTAGGTTATTATTTACATTTCGTTTACATCATTCTACTTATTTGATCAAACATCAACTTGGGTGCATCACATGACGTTACTGCTACTGTCAGTGTGTACTCTTTGAATATAAACCATGCCAGCCGTCTTTACAGAGAGCCCCATTATTTACTCTTTTAACACATTTTAAAATAAATTTATTTTTTTTTGGTGCTGATATGAATAATCATTACTTAAAATTAGTATTTTAAAAAAATCCTAAAGGTATCAGACAAATTATAATTTTTAACTTCTCTTTTAGAAGATTGTCTCCGTTAATTAAAATACCTTAATTTCTATTTTAAAAGTGCCATACAAATATTTCTAATTTAAAAGTACCAGAAACATATTTCTTACTTTGCAGTTCCACAAAAACATATACGTTTGATGAACATTCTACAATTTTAAGCTTGTTCTGATTGTGTATAGTGTATAGTGTATACTGTATACAATTATGGCGGGCATTATTTTAATTCATATATTTTTGAAAATATAAACGTCAGAGTAGACAGGACACATTCCGCATGCATCATATATTACGTCTCAGTTCTTATTTGGAAATACCAAATTGAAAAGGACAAAAAAAAAAAATCAACTTGTGTTGTATTTATTGCTTGGATATAAAAATAAAAAAAAAAATAATACTAATTTATTGTCAATTTCTTGAAAACATGGACATTTGTGTCTCCATAAAAAGTAAACTTGATCGTATTAGCTGAACAGGCCATCGGTCATTGGAAAAAACAACAACAACAACAACATAGAATGACAGTAATTGACAACCAACCTTTAATGGCTAGTGACAGAAGATCTTAGAAATGAAGCGTGAGATCCAATGACAGCAGTCAGATACTGAGATCCTGTGTCAGTAACAGGTTGAAAGGAACAAGTCGTACAGTCCTTCAGTTCAAGTACGCGACAAATGAAACAGAATGCTATCTCACTGCTTGTCTTTTCCCTTTTATCACGTCGTCAGGTCGGCTTATTTTTTCCTTTATTTTTTCTTCTTCTTTTTTTTTTTCTTTTTTATTATCCGAAGAGCTTCTTAGTTCAAAGTCACGTGTTCAGCCGTCGACCAATCAGAAGAAACCAAACAGTTCCCGACTCGAGCACCTCTGACAGAACTTCAATAATCGTTATCTCGCCACAGCGGACGGTTGCCCCGCCTCCTGCAGACAGCGCACGAGGGGCCCGGGACCCGTGGCTTTTTGGACGGCTTCATTAATTGGAAGACAATTACTGCGATACTTGGCCATAGGGCTCTTGAGCCGTTTGACCACACTCAGGGCGCAGCTTAGTCAAAGTCATGAACAAAACTCGTTGAGGACTTGTCATTCCCCCTTGTCGGAAGTCAGTAGTTTAAAGTCATAAACTATTCATAATGCGAATTGCGATATATGTGGCGATGCGGTCCCCCCCCCCCCCTCTTTTTTTCCTCCTTCAAAGATTTTTGTCACTGAACTGCCAGAGCTTTGAAGAAACGAAAAAAATTTAAATTAGAACCTTGGAATAATTTCAGAAGTTTTTTTGTTTTCTTATTCGCAATCTGCAAAAGTTACACTGATTTCTTAAAATGCTATCCACATCCAGCATCCGTGACAGCAGATCATGGGATTGCCAAACGATCGTAAATTTACGGACAGTTCGTAAAGAAAATTTTAAAAAAGTGACCTTAAATGACTTTTCCGTAAAAATCCGCAACATTTTATGGAAGCCCGTAAAAAAAAGGCAATTGACAAACAATGTAGCGTTTGTGATTTCCTCTATCTTGTCTCAAACGTGTATGATAATAATCTAGAGAAATGCAATGCTGATGAGAATGTTATACAATAAAATAACGTTACAAATTAGGGTCAAGGCTCATGATCATGTGACATTGTTGGGTCTTAAAGATATTATATAAATCTCCAAAAAAAGTTTGGTACCGTCATTTGACCCATTTTTAGCTGCTTTTTAGAGTTAATTTTTTTCGAACAAGTTAGTAAAAAATTATATCTAGTTCTTAGTTACTTTATTTGATATCTTCATAAATGTTTCCCTTTATGTAATATATTTATAATTGACACATCTATTAGCTCATCAATTCTCTTGGTAATTATATAAAACATTATTTGATGTCCCTTTTCCCTTCCATTTGTAAAATGTATTTTCATTGGTAATTTTGCAGGGTTTCCGAGCTTTACTAAAACAGATAGTAAGGAGTGCGTTATAGGGTAAAGATGTGGAAACCATGCCATACAGAAAAACTACACAAACTGATTTAATTTATAAATCTATATTAGCTGGTGAGAAGGGTCGCAGTCATAAAATTATGTTATTTCACAATGACTACATTAAATAACTATTCAAACTAAGGTACGCCGCTGAAACATTATTTTTATCTATACATTAATAACATTTAAGGTAAAATGGCAGAAAGTAATGGTGTGATGGTGAGTTCAATAGAGATGACAGCGTAAAGTGAGATTCTTCATGAAACAACCCCTGAAAACAAAGCATTTCTTATAAAATCTTTTATAAAACGTAACATCGAGGAAATGGGGGTGGGGGCTGAAAATTTGACAAAACATGCATAAAAGTAACGCACTTTATACGAATCACAATTAGTGCCCCCCCCCCCTTTTTCCCGCAGGCTCACAACAACAAGGCGAACATTTTGTTCACGCCCCCTAAACTCTATAAACATTCTAATGACCCATCCGCTATTACATCCCAGATTTATTTCACCAACTATTTCAGAAAAACAAAAGGGAATATTACGCACCAAACGCAAGGGCAATTTTGTTTGTTGTGTTAAATAATCTCATTTAGTGCGGCTATCGGGCATTTCATTTTATCTTCCCCTAGAAAAATTGACTTTCGGAGGTTGGGGCCTTAAATTTGATAGAATGTGCTATCATCGGCATCGAGTCTGTGTGCCAAGTTTCAGCTCAATAACTTGACGGGAAGTGAGCCGATTGGCCCTCCGAAAGTCTGGCCACTCTTGCCAGCCAGCCAGCCAGCCACAAACATAGCGACGTTAACATAAATGATTCAAAACAGAGGGAAGTGCGTTTGGGTCTACTATTTTATTTTTATTTTTACGAAAAGAATCTCAATTTGAACATGGTTTAAGAAATCTGTGGTGTATGTATAAATGGGTTGGGAATTAGAATAGTATTAGAGCTCAAGGGCGGTGGCGTACCTAAAGGTGGGAAGGGGGGGGGGAAGAAGCACTTACTGGGATTCATGCGTTACTTGAATGCATGTTTTGTCAATTAACGTTTGTAGATGGAGGGGGGGAGGGGGGCCTCATGAAAGGCATCCGCCATTGTTTGGCGTGTTATAACTAGTCGAATATAATGGGTTGAGTTTAAAGGCTTATTTTCTACAGCTTCTAGATAAAAAATAAAAAGGATAGAATCTCATATATGTATATATTTTTTTTATCCGTTTTGCTCCCTTTTCACAACCACCACCACCCCCCCCCCCTTTTTTTTTATTCCACGTGTCTTATATCACCAGTACTGAGTGGAGGGAAAAAATGCTGTGACGCAGCCAGCTTTCACGCCTGGCGTCTGAACTCAGGTCAAAGGGTTGCAATGGTTTATTTCTTTCGTGGAGGCGACTTTTATATTAATCAATAATGAACCACGTGTATGGTTTAGGAATGTATGTACGCCTGTATTTTAAAGACCGGCTTATATTATTATGAAAATAAGAAGTTAACTCTTTTTTTTTTTTTTTTTTTTTTGGTAAAACTTGGACCCATCAGGTATTTTCTCAAAATACACGGACCAAGTGTAAAAAAAAAAAATAAACTGCCCCCGGTTAAGAACTAGTAGGAAATGATTGAACCATTTAGTTTTAATCGTGAAAAAAAAAAAAAAAAAAAAACCCCCCCCGGTTAAGAACTAAGAGGAAATGATTGAGCCATTTAGTTTTACTCGTGCACCAAAAAAAAAAAAAAAAACAACACTTTAAACAACTTGAAAATCAATCATGTAAAGTCAAGGACAATGACAGGGTTAATCAGTGAGACGTTATAACAACAACCAAGCCACTGAAGTGATCGTGCTGTTCACATTGGCGCGTTCAGATGCCTTAAGTTACTTTTTATTATTTAATATCTTAAAATTAAATCCACGAAAATGTACTCATATTAAGTTAACTATTCAGTAGAAACCCTATGGATAAGTTGTGTTAACTGCCCCCCCCCCCTAACCTTTTGGCACCCAAAACACACACAGACTTGAGATGAATAGTATGTCTTTGTATGCTTTGTATGCTCAGATAACAATACACACACAGACTTCAGATGAATATTATGTCTTTGTATGCTTTGTACGCTCAGATAACAATACACACACAGACTTGAGATGAATAGTATGTCTTTGTATGCTTTGTATGCTCAGATAACAATACACACACAGACTTGAGAAGAATGTAGTATGTCTTTCTATGCTCTGTATGTCATAGACAGAAAGCGCTTCAATTTTCTTCACTATCTCTTCACTAATTCTTCACCCCCCTCCCCTCCCCCGCATGAAATTTTTAACAGAAATAATACCCGCCAACGAGGTCCCGCAGTTTGCATCACGTGTGTATTTGGGGCCCTAATTAATCCAGCACAAATGTACAGAGCTCCCTCATCCAGGGTAATTCAACCCTCACTCCAAAGCCAGGTCTTTTCTTGATAACGACATCGAGGCTCATCAGCGGCACGGAGGGACATCACCCGTACCGTCCAGACACCGGTAGCAGGTTGGACCTACCGCTTCTTCCCCCGGGCCGTATTCAAGAGTACCTCCACCGCCCCCCCCCCCCAAACGTCCCCCCCTGAATTACTGTTAAAACCAGGTTTGGGGAACGTGTTCCAAACGTCACCACACGGGGGGACGCGAAAAGGGAGGGGGGGGGGGGGGAGAGAAGGAAGGAAGAGAGGAGGGGGGGGGGACGGACCCATCTTCACGGCCACTCGTCTTCTGCCTATCACACTCACGCCAGCCTGTCACGGTGCAGCACTGAGGCCGGGTTGCGACACGGGATTAAACGGCTACCGTTGCCTGGCCTCTTGACTTAGACGCTTCGTGCGAACACTGTAAGAGATTAAAGTACACCTACTCCAAGCGGACACAAAGTTGTCAAATGGTTTTCTTTTAAGTACTTGAACTATACTTTTCTTTTAAAGTTATAATTAGAAACAAAAAGAACTTTTTTAAAAGGAAAAAAAAAGAAGAAAAAAAAACCTACAGGCTCAGGAAGGTAAAAAAAAAAAAAAAAAAAAAGTTAAAAAACTTCCTTGTCTTATTTTTTTTTTAATTTTTTTTTAAAAATAAAATAAAAAAAAAAAAGAAATTTTTTAAAAAGAAAAAAAAAAAAGAAAAAAAAAACTACAGGCTCAAGAAGGTAAAAAAAAAAAAAAAATGAAAGTTAAAAAACTTCCATGTCTTAATTTTTTTTTAAATTTTTAAAAGGAGGTCAAAGCTAAGGTCAGGTTTGTTTTGAGATTAGGAGGCACAACAACAAACACAGGGCTGACACAACTGTTACCAGCCAATCAATCATCGGCATGTGTACCACTCTCCGGTCCGGAGGATACAAAGAGGAAATCCTCGCCTCGATTAATGCTGTGTTAAAGCAACATTAAAACGGATTAAACCGACAGAGTCCCGAATCGCTTAAACAGATAATACTAAATTAATCACGTGGCCGGAGGGCCGTCTTATCTTGGCTCCTTAATCCTTGGGAAAGCAAGGCGCTTTATTTCCGGCTCAGCGCTCAAAGTGGGTAGCGCGGTTCACGAGGAGCCCGTTTATACCCAGAGCCTCATTTATATCTACGGCCAGACTTTCGGACGCTAGATGTCACCACAAACTTGGATTTCTAACGCTTTCCCCTCCATTATCTTTCTTGAAATAGCACTTTTTATATACAGCGGGCCGCTAACTAGATCAATAGAAGGTGTTTTTCA